GAATAGAATAGAATAGAATAGAATAGAATAGAATAGAATAGAATAGAATAGAATAGAATAGAATAGAATAGAATAGAATAGAATATGGAGAAAACAAACCTGGTGTCTGTAGATGTTTTATTATAAAGTTTTTTTTTATCCAGAGGCTGATTTTAAACTTCATTTTGTTTGTGTTTCAGATCTTACTGACCCATTTCAGATTAATCTGAAACACCAGACTTGTTTAATGCCAAACGAAAGACATCTATCAGTGCAATAAATGGTTAATTTTTATGATTATTTATAATTAATGAAAGTTTTCTATTTTACATAAAGTAAATAAAAAGTAAACATGTTCCTTTTCTCTTTTCTATTTTTTGAGTTTGGATATAAAACACAGCTAAATGCCTTAGCTGCAATAAATTCATTAGTTTGAGTAAATATCTTTTTATGTTTTTATACTGTGTACAGAATACATTATTCATTTAGTTACTGCATTGTACATATTTATAATTGATTTCCCAAAGTTATGTGTTTTATTCACTGAATGTCTTGAAGATTAGAAAATCTCTTTGGACCAAATGAAGTTTTGAACAAATTCAAGAATAAAATCATAGAGAATAAATTAAATGAAATATTGTTCATATCTTCAGCAAAGCTTTTTGTTGACTATATGATGCAATGCCCTTCTAAGATTTTATATATATTTATATGTATATTTTTAGAATACAGCAACAAATATATTCTGAAAAAGTTTCAAACACATGTAAAAATAATTATCAAGACAATAATATCAAATTTTAGTCAAACTTTGGGATTAAGTTTATAGTTTGACCGGTATTTTTGAAGTATTCTCATGATAGTGGGATAACATTTTTGCATATTTTACATTTAAAGCAATATTTCTGAACAAAGGAAGACATTGTATGAGCCTGAATGTTGTAATCTTTGTTTCTCAAAGCATCTCAGCAGGTTCTGTGTTGGATGAACTCTCAGTGCTGTCGTGGGAAATATAGCTGAGTCGTTTTGTGGTTGGAGAAAAGATGCGATTTGATCTGGTGGGTCAGAGAGACAAAAGGAAATCATTCATAATATGAACTCTGATAATGTGGAACTGCTTGTTTTGGAAGTGGTGCAGGTTCTCCAGCAGAGATGCTCAGAACTCAGCCTGATGAGAGGATGTTGTTGTTCCTCCTCATCAGGATTTTTGATGTGATGTTTGGAAGTCTGACAAAGGAGTATCGGCCATCCGTGCCCCCGGCCCATTGCCTCCTGCTGGTAATTTCCGAGGACACTCCTCTTTGCTTACGGCTCGGTGGTGTGAGATGCAGCTCCACCTTGTTTTTAACCACCTGGCCAATGGGAGGCCGGCGAGCGTATGTAAATAATGAGGAGAGGAGAGGATGGGGATGATAGTCAGCAGGCTGCAGGTGTCATTTATCACCTAAGTCTCTCTGGTACCTGCTGTAGACCTCAGGGGTGCTTCCAGTGTTGGGAAAATAAGCTTCTATAGACTGTAACTGTAAATAACATGATCCTAATATCTGATTTTTAAACCGAAGCAGAATGAAACTGACTTTTCGCCTCGATCACATGTAATGGGTGTGAAATCCTTTACGCAAGAATGTCAAACCAGACCTGAAGGACAACATTCCTCTAACTCTAAAATAAAGGGAACAATGGCACAGCATGTCCCAAAACAAGGCCTGTCCCTGACGTGCGATCCGACACACACACACACACWCCTACTATGTCTCTAAATCTTTGTGGGGACTTTCCAATGACTTCCATTCATTTTTTAGAAATTTTATATCCTAACCCTGATCATTTACCCTAAAATTAACCTCACAGGTACCTACCTGACCCTAACCTAAACTCAATTCACACCTTGGCCCTAAACCCAACCCCCACACCCAAAATCAGCCTCCGAAGTTGTGGGGACCAGGCTTTGGTCCTCTCAAAGAGCATCCGGTCCCCATGAGGCTGCATTTTCCTGAAAAATCGTCACCACCAAGTAGCAAAAACAAGGGCGGGCACACACACACACACACACACACACACACA